TGCTGTTTAAATGCAAGGGCATATCCTATGCAGTATCATTTAATCTTATTTTGATAACATTACTTGAATATTTCTTGAGATAAAAAACTATTTGCTTTCAGTATGTGGCAGATGTAAGACAACTGCAAAAACGTATTCAGGAGTCTGAGGAAGCAGTTCAGTTTATTAATAAAGAAGAGGAACTTTTCAAGTGGGAATTGACAAAATATCCTGAACTGGATAAATTGAAAGTTAACATTGAGCCCTATCAAAAGTTTTTTAATTTTGTTTTGAAGTGGCAACGAACAGAAAAACGGTAATTTATGTTTCTGGTAATGTAATAAAAATTAAGCAAGTGATATAAAAGGTTTATAAATTGATTTTATTTTCTTGTGTGTTTAAAATAGGAGTTAATCCACCCATTTTAAAGTGAACCAAGTATCATATGGGAGAAGCATCAAATACTGCTAAAGTACTACCTAACTTTACTAATGTCTGAAGTCTCATTTGGGTTTTCCAGAATCAATTCACTTTTTAATGCAATTAATTAGTTTAGTTGACTAATGTTTACACAAAATTAGAAATGTGCAAATTTGCATTTTATTTGGATACCTTTAATCAGTCTCCCATGTATAAATCTGATGCACATTTACCACATGCAGCATAGCTGAAATGATGGTTTTAGTTCTGTCTCTGTACCATCAGCTTTACCTCTGTGGCTCTGAGAAAAACTGTTAACTGCTCATGCCCTTGGTTGTTTCCTGCTCAAAGAATCTCTAAGACTCCTTTAAACTTCAAAAGTCTCTGAGTTCAGTGCTATTTTTAAACCTTTCATTTCAGGTGGATGGATGGAGGTTTTTTAGACCTCAATGGGGAAAGTATGGAAGCTGATGTAGATGAGTTTTCCCGAGAAATTTTTAAGACACTGAAATTTTTCCAAACAAAACAAAAGAAAGAATTACAAGAAAAAAGAAAGACAGCAAAGAGACGATCTCTGGTAGAAGAGAAGCCGGAAGAAGAGTCAAAGGAGAGTCCTGCTATTACTATGTGCTCTGCAGTAATGGGGCAGATAAAAACCTTTAAGGTGCGAAAATATTTAATCACATTTTAATATTATAAACATCGTTTCAACTTTCTATTGACTATTATATCAAAAATAAAATCCATCCTCTGATCTTCTTTTTGTATATAACAGTCTAATTGTGTGTCAGATGGGTTTGATGAGTATCTAGCCAGTTTCATCCTTGGTAGACATCTGACCCAGGATAAAGCAATCCTAATACACCATTTCTCTGGCTGTGGTGATTGGTTCGGGGATAGGCATGTGACCCAAACTGGGCCAATCAAAGTTCTCCCTGGAATTTTTGAACTGCATCTGGGAAAGGAAGCCTCTTTTTCTCTATTTATAAGCTGTAAGGATATGAGTTAAGTACTCTCTATGGTGATAGAGTAGTTGGCTTGAGAGAATGATATTGATACTTAAAGTTAAGAGGAAATGAAAGAAGGAGATCTGATTGTGCACACTCCCCTGGGCCCCAGAATCCAGAGGCTAGAGACATTTATATCTGTCCTGTCTCACTTTGAACGTGCAAGCAAATAGAGAACCTTTTCTTACCACTCCCCCACTCCCCCCACCCCCACTTATTTTGCTTTGGCCAATTTGAACTGGGTCTTTGTCACTTGTAATCAAAGAAGTCAGCCTAATAAAGATACCGAGGGGAAAATAATCAGAAAAAATAAGATTTAAATTTTTTTTCTGTCCTTCAGCCTCTTGATCCAGCTCTGACTCCCTCCCATCCTTCTGGTCCAGAAATGGGCACTGTGAAAGAGCTGAGGGATCATCTTTGGGAGGAAGTGGTAAGGGCAAGGAGAGGGGACTTTCTTCCTTTCATCTTTGAATCACATCTTTTTGCATCTTTGACCTTTTGGTGTCCCATTCCCCCATCTTTAAACCCCTCATCCTGAAGCACCACTCTCAAGGATGGTATGTGGGAAAGATTGATTTGGGTGGTGGACATGTATGGTGCAGCTCAGGGAGAACACACATATAGCCACATCTGGCTACACTGGGGCAAAGGGTTTTCAGACCCAAGGAAGGTGATAGAAGATTGTTGAGACCTATTATGGCATATTGGACACCTCACTGAAAATAACACCAAATAAGCATATGGAAAACATAGGAAGACTAAACCATTTTTTATGATTTACTGTAATGACACTAAATAAACGTAGTGAAACAGCTTACCAATAATCAAGCATAATTCAAACTTTGTAATGAGGTCATAACTATTATTCAACATGAATACATTTTAAATATATATATTTTTTGTATTTGAAAAACACTTAGAGTAAGAAGGATTTTGAGTCCAGAGAAGTTGTTGATCCATAGATTCTGAGTCTTAAGAATTACCCAGAGAAGACGCAGTAGAGCTATTTACATCATCAGGTGATAATGAAGAGAAATGGAAAGATTTGGAAGCAAAATCAAAGCTGAATCCAGAAAACTTGCTATATTACTGAATCCATGCCTCATTCTTTCCTGATGAAGTCCTGGAAATCAACCCCTTTA